ATAATAATATCCACCTTTGCTCTTTCCTCTGGTGACTAGGCACTGGCATCTTATAGGCTTCTATTGTTTCTTACCCCCTCTGACACTGCTTAAGCCATTTTGAACCTCAGCTAATGGAAGGGGAAGGTGGGTGGATGGATTGTCTATTAAAATGGATAAGTCATTTACTGTGCAAAAAGAATTAAGCACAAATCAGAATGTTTACCTCCTCTGTTGCTTTGAATCTGTTTTTAAAACCTACATGCGATCTTTTTTCAATAAGCTGCAAAAATGATATAGAACACAAGCAGAACAAGATCAAAAGCTGCATATTTTCACTGTGTAAGTCGGTAATGGAGGCACAAAGGAAAACAATTTTTCCTTCAGTCTATCATATCATCTTATGTCAAGGATGGTAAATGAATGCTCCTCCCTGCTGCTGAGTAAAATCTTTAACAGGAAACACATGAGCTGAGGATAAGAAAGAGCTGGCACATGGATTCCTCATTCTGGGGAAGTGCTTTTGATTTCCATCACCTTCCAGCTGCCAAGGACCAGGAGGAGCTGGGATTCTGCATTCAGTCTTGTTAGTGCAACTGAGTCAGATAAGCTTGGACAGCCATGGGAAACATGGATGTTATAATTGTTTTCTTGAGGAGTTCCTATGACTAAGTTTTCATTATCTATATTATGCTATTTAGGGTTGGAGTCAAGAAAACATTTGACTATGAGCTTAAATTCACTCCTATTCAGAACGGCATTTTAGAGCATTATTCCCTTAAACATTTTCATGGAGGTTGATGGATTTACAAATAATGTCTGTAGGTATCTGTACTGTAGCCCACTGGAGTCAATGGAGAAAGATCCTCTTGACTCCCGGAGGCTTGAGTTCAACTTTCTCTTCAGTATTGTCAACAAAGCTGAAAAGACCACAGGGATCCTCTAGCAGGCATCAGTTGCAGAGGAGGTAAATGTTTCTTTCTCTTTGCGCTCTGGCAGGGAGTAAACTAGGACAAAAGACTGATGCCTTCATGGAGGGTCAGAGGAAGAGGAGAGCTGCTGTTGTATAAGGCGCACTCAGGCAGTGTTGTTCCAGCACTGGATTGGAGCACAGCATGGAGTGAGAGGCTCACTGACCCAGAGCAACACAGACCCAAAGTATTGCTCCTTTATTTAGAGCTTTGGTATCATAGGTAGAGCTTCCCACCAGCTCTGGGTGACACTTCTGCAGCCCTGGAACCTACCCAATGGTGGCAGCGCTGCCATCATGCTATTTGCAGAAACACTGTCCCTGCTGCCAGGATGTCCTGTTTCTCAGAAATCACCTTTATAGATGGTCCACGCCAGTCCAACCCTGGGAACATGGCTTTTCAGTATCCCTTGATACCACCCTGTCCTCCAGTGTGAAGTTGTGGGGTGAGCTGAGAATATCTATCTCCTGCGTGCATATCAGTGCTCCAATGAGAAACCCAGGGAGCAGCACGCAGCCAGGACCCTCCATGGCAACAGTGGATGTACAGTGACCTACTTTTAACACAGCTTATGTAGCCTTTCTTGCTGCTTTATGCTTGAATGGCAGATTTTGCAACAAAAGGTCAATTTATGGCAGCCTTTTATTGCAAGGCTCTTTTGCTATATAGTCCAAAGTTATAATGACAAAATGCTCCTCCGAGTACAATGAGGACTGCAAAAACCAGCCTCACTTTTTATGTAATGCTTTAAACTTTATCTGTTTCAAACAGCTTTTGGTGCTAAGCTCTTTTTTTGTTTGTTTGTTTGCTTGCTTATGAAGAGAGCTTTATTACTTCCATGAAGAGCAATAGATGAACATCTGAATATGAATAGAAAGACTTGGCAATGGGTGATTTAACTAAAACCATTAAAAACAAATTCCAAAGCTCAGCAAACCCCCGTATATGGAGGGAGAAGCGTCTGAACTATAGCAGCCCAGAAAAGTGAAAATGGCATAGCAAAAATGAAATGGGAACCCAGTCACTGCTAAGGGAAGGCACAAAGTAAATCCGATGTGACCCAACCCCACAGGGTCACAGACAAGCTGAGACAAATGCAGGAGGAAGGACAGCATGACAATAGCTAGCCCAGAGGGCTGGGACACACGGTTGAGTTCCTACATGTTGGCTGCACTGCAAAAGCTGACTGATTCATACACAGCCTACGGCAGCCATGAGATAAAACACATTATGTTAAGCCCCGGTAGAAGAGGGTGAGATGAATGCGCTTTCCTTGCTATTGGCAAAGAGGTAGGAGTGTGGACATGAACAGTTACCACAGCCCAGCTAGCATGCCTGCGTTTCCCTCTTGCTGAGCTTTTCCGTTCAGAAATGACCCCAACCCCTTTCTAATGAGACTTAACCTTCCCTGGCTGCCAGCTCAGTGTGAGCACACGATGAGACAGTGCTCAGGTGGCACGCGGCTCCTCCTTAGGCTTTGGTATTCCAACCCCCAGTAACTCCTGCCACTGGAAAACACTGTGCACAGGGAAATGTCCCAAGCCTGTAAAGAGCCATGACTGAGCCAGAAGGATGGCTTGCCATCAGTCATGGGTGATGGACACCTCTGTCAAGCTCTCCTAGTGGTATGCCAAGAGCTGAGCCCCCAGAAAGGGCAGAGCCTTGTTTTTCTCCCTGCTCCGCTTTCTGCCAGACAGCAGAACAGCCTTGCCAAAGTTGCTCTGCAGCTTCTACCTTTGCCAGTAATCTGGGTGATCTCTTATCTCTCCTTATTTCCCTGTTTGTAGCCATGACAGCCGAACCCTAGACAATGTGTAATGGGTGAGTTATGCTAGAAGTCGTTGAGCCAATGATGATTCTGGAGCAAGAGCATTGCTGGCTGAATGCTAGAGCTCAAAGCACCTCTTTTAGAAATCAGTAGTGGCAAGGGATTTGAGAAATTGTTGTGTCCCAGCTTCAGTTTACTCATTCATTGCACTGTCTGCTCTGTGGGGCTGATGGAGGATTTTGCCTGGAGGAAGTTGTGTTACTGATTATGAGACAGCAACAATTTCAAGTGAAAGGTTTGTTAGTCATCTTTCCTTCTATCTCTGTATCACTGTGGCTAACAAACACCTCCCAGCTGTCTTCCAGGATGCTGCAAAGTTACACGGTCTTCAGTTTGTGCCTTCTGGATCTGTGTGCTCCCTGTGCTTTCTGTGGGTTTGCATTGGTTTTGACTCCAGCTGAAATGATTCTAGCAGCAGCTGGAAAAGATATGAAGAAATCACATCTTTCTCAGCTGGATTGACTCCTGAGCTTTGGCAAGTCTAAGGAACATTTCAGTTACTCTGCACAGAACATCAATTTTTTGCATGCAAACATAATTCATGCAGTACTTTCTGAGTCTTAATTACTGGGTGGTTCTAAAGATAAAGGTGATTCAAAAAAATCCTCACCATGAACTGACATCACTGAGTGCATCAAGGAAATGGGTCCATACTGCTCTAACATCAGGACATGTTAACTCAGGCCATCGCTGTAGAACTGGTTAAGCTGATGTCTTTTGTTTTTGTTTTATTAAAAAAAAAAAAAAAAAAATAGGTGGACTCTGAACTTGGGATGAACATCTCATGAGTCCTTCTCTGGAAAGTGCTCAGTACACTTCAGAACCAGACTGGCTGAAAGGATGATGAGCTATGAAGACATTGCCAAGATGTTAGAGTTTTTCAGCTCTAGTCATAACCACATAGTGACTTAGGGTGCCATGTTTGCAGTCATCTTATGAAGCAGCATTTGCTGCTATTGGCCTGTCAGAGACAGCAAGGCATAAGCATTGAAGCAGGGAGAGAAGGGAAAGGAAAAATTCTCTGAGTGTCCAGTTGGGAAGGCAAGCAATGGGTCCACCAGTTGTGTGTCCTCTCCAGTGTAGCAGGGTCCTTCCACTAGAACTTTTAATAATAATAGAATAGTTTTCATTAGGAACTGCTCACATTTTCTGTGGAAGAAATCTGTGCTTTATTCCAGCTTGCCATACTGTTGGGACCACTCTTTGTTCAGGGTAGGTGATGCATGCTGGGTGGTTGATGAGATTTGTGTATGTGCATTTTTGGATGCTCTAATAGAAAACTACCCACAAGGGGAAGGGGCTGGGGGGAAGGAATGAATCTCACCCCAGTGGCAAAGTTCTCTCCCATGAGAACTTACCATAACAACAGTATTAAGGGTTGCGAGTTTAAGGCCATGAGATTAACAGAAAGAGAACAGCATTGTAAGAAAAGCAGGGGAAAATTATTACCCTAGAAACTGGAACAAGCTCAAGCAGCAGCTTGGGAGAAAGGGTGTGAAGTTGCAAGTAACAGGCAGGCTTCATATCTGCAGCTAGAAGGCCCTTAGCCTTACATGGGCTGAGCATCTATGGCACTGTGCTCAACAAGGCAAGCTGGCAGCCCAGAATGGGGCCCACAGTATTGAGGGTGCTGAGCAGGACACTGCTAGGACAGTCTGAACTGGGAGGAAGCAATCAGTCTTTGAAATCAGTCTTTGAATGTAGGTATCTACGTGAAAGCCTGAGTTAGGTGTGAACCTTTAACTTGGGACACGCGGCTATGTCCTAGCAGCAGAGTATTGAAGAACCACAGCTCACATTATATTCATCCATACAGCCAAGCCAGGGCCAGGTTGGAAGGGGTCATGGCTTCCAGTCTGTGTACCCACATCTCCATCCCGCAGGAAACAGAGTGAAAGAGAGTGGAAGATTGCTGCACATCACAGTGTCCCTTGGGCCAACAAGAAGTGGCTAGAGCAATCATAGAATTATAGAATCATTAAGGTGGAAAAACCAGTAAGATCATCCAGTCCAGCCATCAGCCCATGCCTGTGATCGCTCTAGGCCATGTCCCTCAGTGCCACATCCACCCTCAAACTGAAAGCTCCAGAGACAGTGACTCCACCACCTCTCTGGACATCCTGTTTCAAAACCTCACTACTCTTTCAGAGAATAAATTCCTTCCAACATGAACCTCCCCTGGCACAACTTGAGGCCATTACCTCTCATCATATTGCTGTTACCTGGGAGAATAGTCCTCCTTAAGGGAGTTGTAGAGAGTGGTAAGGTCTCCAATCAGCTTCCTCTTTTATGACTGAACAATCCCAGTTCCCCCAGCCACTCCCCGTAAGATTTGTGCTCCAGAACCTTCATAGCTTTGCTGCCCTTCTCTGGACACACTCCAGGGCCTCGATATCTTGTAGTGAGGGGCTCAATCATCCAAAGTGGGGATTTGCAAATCTCTCCCATAAATAGCTGGAATCTTCCCTTTGGGTAGAAATTACTAGCTCACTTTTTTCTTCCTTCTTCTTTTGTATGGAAGTCTATTAGTTCAAGCATTTGCACATTTACAAGACCTGGGTTTCACACAATCAGTCTGAGAGCCTTCAGAGCCACTGCTCCCATTTCCCCAGGAACGTCTTCATAGGTTTGCTGGAGTTCAGTAAGAGAAGGAAGTGTTCCCCGCACTCCATGTCCTTAACTGTAGCTGGGCTATGATGCAAGCAGTGAAGGTTTCATCTGTTCAAGAGAAGGCAAGCAAAGTAGATTCTACCTCTGCAGCATATGTTTGGGCACTTCTGGTGTGGAAAGTGTTCAGTGGTGCTTGGTCTTTGCATCAGGGCCTTCATAAAATTATAGAATCACAGAATTGTTTGAATTGGAAGGGACAATTAAAGGCCATCTATGCAATGAACAGGGACACCTACAGCTAGAGCAAGGTGCTCAGAGCCTCATCCAGCCTGACCTTGGATGTCTCTATGAACAGGGCATCCACAACCTTTCTGAACAACCTGTTCCAGTCTGGGCTCTGGAAGGTCTTTATGAACATACTCTCCCTGCAAGATATTGCTGTTATCTTGCTACTGTCCTTAATTGCTCAATTAAAACTGGTCATGATATGTTAATGATAAGCCTTATCCTGATTTCTGAGGAGAACAGAAAATAAAGTTAGTTTTCCTAGCTCTGGTCTCATTAAAGCTTCATGTCATTCTCATTATAATGCTATTTTCCTGACTTAATCCCTTATTTACTGCAGGGGAAGTCTGAAGAGGGCAGAATATATTTGCAGTTTGGAAAGGCTACTTGGATACTGATCCTGTGAACCAATGATTTTTTACAAGAGTAAAAAAAAAAGTTCTAGAGTCTGTCTCATGCTACTTTTAAAATAATACTTCTTGAAATAGATGTTTAAGGGATGTGTAAGAAGACGTGGTTTGCAAATACAGACATTAGATCACAGTGACCCTCTGTCTCCTGGGGACAACAGCTTCCCTCTCCCTTTCAAGCCATTAGATAATGTGTGCTGCTAAAAACAGCTTAGGTCAGAGAGCTGTTCACATACACTGCTAATTGGTGAGCTCCTCAGTTAGTGTTATAAGGGATCTGACACCAGGTAAGGTTTCAACCATACTCTCCATGGTGACCCATTGGAGCTCTTTCTTCTCTCATTCAGAATGTGGTATCTTGATGGGCACTGTGCTTCCTGATCTCCATCGACAGACTCAGTTCTGACTCAGAGTGAGCCATGCAGATCAGTCAGCTCTGCTCCCAGCAATGTCTGCTCATTTGCAGAGCTCCCTTACCACTGATACATCTTTGTGGTTTGAGAGGCCTGACAAGACTGCCATCAAAAATGGAAAATTTGGTGAAGTCCAACTCGAGATTGACATTGGCCTTCGGTTTAAAATGCCAAAGCTCAGAGAACAAAAAGCCACAAAATACAGGAGCTGTGATGCAACTGTTGTCAATGCACATGTAAATGCACATGACTCAGATGTGAGAGGCAGCGTGTTTTGTAAGCTGAGGCTACTGTTAGATATATCTCAGTTTTTCCTCATGTGTACACAGTGGATGGCCCAAGAGAATAACTCCATGTTGTTCCATCTTTGCAAAGATTAACATTATAAAGAAGAAAGCACTTTTCTGTACTGGTTTGCAGTATCTTATGAGGCAAAAAGACCCACAAATCCATGTCCTTAACCAAATTTACCTTTGCCTTGATGGCTATGTGTTTATAACATCTAAACGGCACCCAAAATAAGTAATGTGCAGCTACAGCTGCAGTGTCAGAAAGCTGTATCTGTGTGCCAAAATGCTGTCTTTCTGGAGGGAGTTGGTATTGTAGGCCTTTTAGTGTGGGAACTTTAATAACCACACCTTGCTAAATCTCACGTCATTGCCTGTACTCCAGGTTCACGTTGTTTTAGCTTTTTGAAGGAGTGTTGCAAGTCTCTGTATTCTGGCCAACTCCAACACAAGCATTGGTATTCTGCCCACCCAACCTGCTCTGTTGTTGTAGGAGTTGCCCTTTGCAGACTCTGCTAATGTGTTCCCTTCCAGAAGGAAACAGCCCCCATGACTGCAGGCCCACATCTTACTAATCTAAAGCTCTGGCAATCCACAGAGACTGGTTTGCTATTGCAGAGAAATGCTCCTCCTTCCTCCAAGCAACCCTGGGTGATGACACCTGCGTTGGGTATCCTGAAACTGCTGCCTCTCTGGTGGAAGAGGAGCATCCACCCATGAAATACTCCTGGAGTAACACCACAACCAGTCCCCAGTTACATGCTGAATGCCTGGAAGTCCTAACCCATGCCACAGGCCTGCCAGAGGAAATTTTTGAAGTCCAGCAGAACCTGAGATGGGATGTAAGCTGGAAAGGTAATAATCACACCCATCTGGCTGAGGATGCCTTGAAATGAAGCATGGCAGCTATGGGAAAGAAGAAAGAAAATGTTGATGTGGAGACTGCCCTTCAACACCTCCTTCTTCTGCCAAAATGCAACAGCAACGTGATTTCTGGGTACGTTCATAGTATAGGAGTACTCCAACAGCAGAAAACAAGTTACCTGCACAGAGGTGGCTGCAAAAACAAACTGAAGTAGGGGTTGATGAGGGAAAATAGGAAGGCACAGTTATCGTCAGACAGTGAGCTGGGGTCAAGTTCAATAAAAGATAATCCAACGTTAATCCAAATGGAACTTGTTTCTTTTTGTAGGTCCCAATCTGGTACTGCTTTGATATTAAAAAAGAAAAAGAAAAAAAAGTGTGTGTTTTGCAGATTTAAACAGAGCTCCTTTTGTTTCAGATGAAATTTTCATCTGCACTGTGATGACTCACAGGCTGCAAACCAAGAAAAAAAGGAGAAGAAATAATCACCAGGGAAGGGTAACACTCAAACAAACAAACAAAGAAATGGAAGTGCTGCAGCTCTACGAGGCTGAAAGAATGAGTGTATATCCTGTGATGCTCTTGGCTATGTGACAGTGGTTTCCTTCTGTGTTTCTGTCTCAGTAAAATTAGAGGTGTATGTTTGAAGCTTGGGGGATGTGAGCTCAGCTTCTGATTCTGCACAGCCTCCTGTGAGGCATGGGACAAATTCTTAGATCTCTCTGGATCTCACCTGTAAAACTGTAATAACATTCTTTGTCTATTTAAATACTGGTTCCTATGGGTTTCTACTGGGCCCAGAGGAGCAGAGTCCTCATCTATCATCACGCTCTCTAGCTGCCACTGTGCTATGAATAATAGTGTTTATTAATCATAATAAACACGTCAGCACTGTCAGAGAGTGTACACAGAGCAAGTAGAACAGTGTCTGACAACCACATCCTGCCATGTAAGTCGGGAGGTGGAAAATGAAAATTCTGCTGCAGATAATATAAAATCCAGAGATTGGCCCGACTCTTCCTGTGGGCAATATTGGAGAAAAAAAAAGAAAAGGTCAATTTTATTCTAAAAAATAGGACAGCAATAGCCTATGTGGTGTGTCCCTCGCTAATGTGCCAAGACAGCTCTGACATTTACAGAGTGAAATAGCGAGGGAAGCTGGATAGTGTGTGTCCAGTTCAAAATGAATATAATAGGAATAGCAAAACTTAATTTTAATGTATAAACTGAAATCAGCTGAATTTACTGGTTAAGTCTTCCCCAGGTTGCTCTCCTCTTCTGGCTCCATCACCCAGGTCACCGTTTTGGTTGAGAGGTGACAAAGGGCAGAATGCAGGTCTTCCAAGCTGCTGGCCTCAGCTACCAACCCCCTTCACCTGGCCCATGTCCTGCATGTGGATCACCCTCCTGAGAGAGGTGGAACCTCAAGGCAGCCCACCTCAAGGAGCCTCATGCTTTGGACATGCAATGAGCTGGCACGTAGTGGTAAAACACAGCTCAAAATGAGTCCAGTTGCCTCAAATTAGCCATTGTTTTCCAGAGTGGTGTACAAAATGGAGATCATTCCAAAAGCAACCTGTGATAGGATCCACTCTTGTCCACATGAAATCATAGCTGCAGCACAGAGCAGTGAGGTAAGTTCTGGATTTTGGACTGTTTATACTAATAGGAGACTGAGAGAAATCCTTTGAAACTTCTGGGGTTACCTGAGACTTTAGCTGATGTAATCAGGTCAGAATCTGCTTCTAGGTCCTCCAGTTGAATCTTAATGCTTGGTCTATGCTGGAGATACTTGCCAAGGAGTTAATCATCTTTGTGTCCTGACAAGACCTCATGGCACCTGTATTCATCAGAATTACCTGCTGGGAGGAATGGGCTTGTGACATGGGCTAGATTTGGAAAGAAATAACAAGAGATATTCTGCATACTGAGAAAGGATCTAATTGAACCAAAAACTTTGAGATGTAAATGGTTTGCTGTGGAATCAGGAAGCAGTTTCTCCTTCCCTGACTGCCTATGGGTGTTTGATCTATTCTCCACTGGAGCATGCCTGGTCCTTGCTCTGCTTTTGTCCTGCAGTTTCAGCTCCATAGCCAGGAAGCTGCCAAGCCTTTGATGCCAGCTGCTGTGTGGCACACTGTGACCACCACCAGCAGCCTCTGCCTGGCTGTGACACCTCCTCAGCCCTGCAGCCCGTGCCAAGAATCATTGGCATAAACTTGCAGAAGAAACTGCATGGATGCTCATTTTTGTATTAAATTCATACCACCATTTTTTCAAATGCCGAAGGGAGGTGAGCACTCAAAACCCACTGAATAGATCTGATTGATTCTCTTCTGTTCTTTCACAAATCCCAGCTTCAGAGATGTCCCGGTATGTGAACTCAGTCAACAGGTCATGTGTGAGTGGCTTTATAATTTTCTCATTGTGGCACTGCCAATACCTTTGTGCATTTC